AAAGATTTGGCACTCCATTAATTTGCTTAGCAATTAATGTTAGATAAAATTAGATGGCAGCATTGAAGGCTGCCACAGACTCGGGCTGCGGGCGCTTTTTCGATAGAGGAAATTTTTGTTCTACCATAAATTCCCCCAACAACTTGAATTTTGTAACAATTATTTTTCATGCAGTTGTTTTTTAAAATTTTCACTCTCCTGTGTACTTCGCGTAGATTAGTAAGTACTTGACTACTTGAGTATTTCTTTTATATTAAAGAGGAAACATGGTAAGTGGCGGAGCTAAAAATTTAATATAAAAAAGAGAAAATTTTAATATGATTATTTAAAAAGGAAAAACGTCCCATCAGTGAATGAAAAAAAGTGTGCTGGTTATAGAAAGGTCAGGGATTAGGCATTCTTTCATCATATAAAAACTCGTTAATTTTGTAATCGATATCAAAATTTTCAATCATCTTTTTTTTCAACAAGAATATAAATACTATTTATTTTCTTCATTATGTAAATTATTGGCATAAACTATGAAAGATGTCGCTACCCGACGTCGGATGGGACTCCTCGAAAATATCTAAAATTAGATTGAATATTTACAAGTTTATTTATAGATTTTGGAGTCGCCACCTAGTATTGAAGGAACTAGGAACCTAAAATGGACACTCGGTTCGGAGATCCTATGGTAAGGAGTTGGTTACGCTTTTGGGAAGATGTCGATCACCTAAAAGTGCCCTTTCCGAAGAGGTACTACGTCCGGTTTTAGCTCTAAATTTATCTCCTAAAATGTCAAATTATTTTCTCGACTCTTAATCTCCCATTTTTTTAAACAAATTGAATTTTTTTAGTTTTGAGCGTGGCATCGTCGTATTGAAACGATTGTCGGTCCCCTTCGTCGGGCGACACGTCGATTCAAACATCGGATCCACTTTAAGCCTTAACACAACCGGCGTGTCGAAGGACGTCTTAATTAAAATGTGATTTTTGGTGACGTCAGCCTCTATCAAATAGGAGGCTTCGTCGAAAATTTTGATATATATTTTGTCTAGTTTTTTTTTATTTTCTTAATAATAATTAAAAAAAACTAAGATTTTAACTAACTGAAATTAACTAGAAATTAAATGTATTAAAATCACCGTCCGTCCCTAATAAATAGGAGACTCGTTGATCCAATATTTTAATCACATAAAAAAAATCACATATTAGAATAAATTCCACAACTAAATAGCTTTGGATTTTCGAACATGCATAAGACAAAAAAATTATTACAAAACACATAAAAAAATAAAAAAATAAAAAAAAGTCCAAAATTCACATATATTGTAAAATTACCAAAATGCCCCTGGAATACCAAGAGTCACTACCAAGCGACCGTTCGTCTTTCGGTGCCCGCTCCGGCGCGTGGACCACCCGGCCTTGTAGATCCGGCCATTGCGACTCCAATGGCGGTGGTTCCAACCGGAGACGACACCGGAGGAGGGAGATCGGAGCCTCCAAAGGTTCGGCCGGATCTCCCTTCTTCACCGACGATGAATCCGACCTCCTATCGGGATTTCAAACCCACCGGTCGACTCACCAGGTTGAGAGAAGAAGTTCTGTGGTGGTTAGAACCTCCAATTTGGCCTAGATCGGTCAATGTTTCCGGGTTTGCCAAAACGGATCGAAAACGGGTTGACCTCAATTAAACCGTTTTTCGGTGTCGTTGGGTCGAGATGTTTAAATGGAATTACTCGGAGGAGATGGGAGATCATGTCCGTGGTGATGGATCTTGTGTTGGTGACCGGCGTTGAGAGAAACGATCGGGTATCGTTTTCGGGTCGGGTCGTGGTGGTTTAAACTTCAATTTCTCTCTCCTCCGTGGGTTTTCTCTCTCTAATGGGTATGGATCGGTCGATCTAGTGATGGTCTACACGTGGGTGTGTTGATCGGGGTCAAAATCTGATCGGAAAACGATCAATTGAGGCTTAAAGTTTTCGGATGGGTTAACGGGTAATCGGGTCCGGTTTGATGGGTTAGGATGTGTTTGCCTTCCTCTTTTTAGGTTTTCGGTATTTTTTTTTTTGTTGCTTTTTTTCTTTTTTTTTCTCCCCCTTTCTCATTTTTCGCAAATTGGAATCCGAAAGCTTTTTATAGGCCGAAAACATCTTAAAATTTCTCCCAAAATCAAATCAAATTTTAATTATCGAATCTTAAATTTGAGATTTTTCTAGCTAAAAATAAGGAGATTCTAATTAAAAAAAATCGGTGGAAGATTTCAACGGATGTTTTGGAGATTTTATATTTTTTCCTTTTTTGTTTTTTTATTATTATTTTTTTTTTTTTTTTTTTTTGATTTTTTACTTTAAAGGAAAAATTGGGTTATGATAAAAGAGTTAACATTTTTTACAATTAAAAAATGGTTTTAAGTTCAAAATACTCCTATTGATATCTCAAGTGCAACTTTTTTTTTATTTATAAAATCCATAAATAAAATTTATTTACAGACTTGCATGTATCATCTATATTCCTTTTTAACAATCACTTATAATACAAATATTATTACGCTTATATATGTAATATTTAGGATTTATTTGCAACTTTTCAAATATTATCAAAATTTGCATTGACTGCAGAGTGTAATATCCTATCCTATTTATGACATAAAAAAGCATCCACTCATAAAAAAATATTAGTATATAATATATGTAATTATGATTTTGTTTTCCTAGGAGACGTTCGTTACTATACAATTCTAATGTTTAGGTAAAAATTAGGGGGGCGGCTTGGCTCCACCAACTTAATACAAGTGCTTAATCTCTCCTCTAAAAAATGCCTTCTTTTGGGCTATGGCTAGTGCAATTTTTTCGGCAATAGCCCTTTCCTCGTTCTCTCTCTTTTTTTTTCCTTTTTTTTTTCTTTTTACCTACGTTTAGTTATTAGATCTGATAGTTTATGTACTCTAAATCATTATAGACTTAGATATTATGATCAGAACATATGATATTGTTTTGTTAGTTGTTCTAAACGTATGAGATTATGTGTTTTTATTTGTGTCAACTATAGGTTTGTCTAAGGATCTTTGACGGATCAACATATGGATTTATAATTTTGAATACATTTTAAGCGGTTAAGTTGTTAAATTTTTTGAAAAAAAATTCGATATCTTATTGCAATTTCGTTTTTTTGTCAATGAAGTCTGATAATATGATTCATTCTCCATTAATAAATAGTTACAAAATATTATTGGATCGAGATGTATAGAAAAAAAGAAGGTATCATTGTACATTACTCAAAAGAAAAAAAAACACTCAAAAAGCTTAATTTGAAGTCTGTAAAATAAAAAAAGATGAGTTATTACTTGAACGATCAATAAAGGTTACATTTATCAATTTTTTCATTGATCAAAATATAAATTAATATTTGTAATCTTTGTTTAAATTTTATGAAAACTATAATGATTGTGTACTATATTTTGTATTAATAAAATTATATAGTCATAAAAAAAGTTGGTAATTTTTTTGTGTGCATAAATTGCAATATTAAAAAGTTAAAACTTCTTTGAAGAGTTATTATTTTTTATATTTCGCCCCTATTTGGAAGTTTTCTTTCTCTTTTTTCAAAACTAGTTCTTTATGGGTGGTGACTAACCTGGCCAAACTCATAACCACTCCATCCATCCAAGAGCTCGAATTAGCAAAAACCCTTAAAAAGTGCACAACGGTTGTCTAGAATCCAATGAAAAGCAAGTTACTCTTGAAAGAAAAAGAGCATAAAGTCAAGAGGGTATGAAGAGATCACTTTGCAAAGGATTCTAAAACAAGGCTCTAATTACCAAAACCTCCTTAGATTTGGTGCAAAAAACACGTACACTACATCTTTCTTTTCTCTCCATGTAATATCATGTACTTAAATCCCTAACCTTTCTATAATCAGCACACTTTTTTTTTTCTCCCGTTCTGGGAAGTTTTTTTTTTTAATTAATTTGTATATTAATCGATATTAAAATTTTTTTTCCATGATTTTAAAAATACATCTCTCATATCAATCTAATATATATAAATGAATAATATTTCTAAATATAATTCTAAAATTCAAACTCAACAACTTGAGAAATGAAATAAATTTTGTTCACTGTCAAGCGTATCTCTTGAAATTCTACAGCCTGCCCATTTAATCCTTTCGTTAGTTAAGTGGTGAGGTGAAATTTTTAATTAAAAGGTAATGTTCAAAATACTCCTAAATCACACTCTAGTATTTCTTTTTAAGTATACAATCATCTATCTATATTTTTATGTTTATATTTTTAGTGGATCACGTTTTTATGTTTCAATGGTCGAGATAGAATATTATTATATACTCTCATATAATATGGGATAATCACATTTTCACTTCTCGATATTTTTTCACGGAGTGCAAAGAGTCAGTTTGCAATGTTGAGTTGACGAAAGCTCATGGAAATTTTGAATTTTGTTCAAACTTAATAATTAGTATTGACTATAGAGGAATGTGAGTGTTTAATATAGTAAAAGCAGTAATGTAAGTCGTAATTGAGTCAATACTGAAGAAATTTTTGGTAAGTTACCTTAAATCAAAAGGGAAAGGTAACGTACATAAAAGAAAGAAAACATAATTTTTTTATTTTTTACAGCAATGCTAATACTTTTCAAACGAATTTTGGACTCCCGCAGCAAACAGGGAACGCCTCTTGAGCTGCTGGATGAAAAAGAAAAAAATTGCAAGGATATGAACAGAAAGTTAACCATTTGGTACAAGAAGAAAAGATAAACTCATTGTCAATGAGATATTTTATATATAATCGACAATAATGACAATAATAATAAGCATCTTCCAAAAAAAAAAAAAAACTTAAAAACATAGTAATAACTCCACTCTTATAAATAAAAAGAAGTAACCATAACTTGGAATAAATAGACCAATTTAACTAACTTTTGGGGTGGAGCCAGCAGCTAAGTTATCTTAGCAAACGGTTCCAACCCAAATTACAAAACAAAAAATTTTTGCTTAATTAATTACGCTTCAGCAATAGTCCAAGTCATATCATTCTCAAAAATCCAGTGACAAACCTCAATTTGACCCGGACCTGAACCCAGAGCCAAGAAAGCACCATGGGTGGGACTCCATGAGGATGTGTCCAAATGACAAATGGCAACACCATGATTGATCTTGGCCTTGCTATTTGGATCCAAAAGATCCGCTTCGTACACCCGAACTTTAGGAACTGAGTGGCAGTAATAGAGCAGGTAAGGATAGAGGCTCTGGTGACAAGAGACGGACTTGGTCACTCTCCCACCGTTGATCCCTTGGATCGATCCAATCATGACGTTTTTCTTCGACCCATTTACGTTATCTGTCGTGCGGACAGCCAAGTTGCGGCCTAATATAGAGGCTGCAAAATCGATCAAGTCCTCAGCCGAGCCTACACAACGCTTGTTCTCGCCTGGGCTGGGTGCTCTCTCACACTCTTCCAGAGCATCCAAAATGATGCGCTCCATGCTTGAATTATCACTGGCATGGAAAATCTCTTTGATCTGATCCATTTGGGAAGTGGAGAACGGTAGTTTGGAGATGATGGAGCGGGGAAGAAAGGATCTTTTGGGCATTTTGTCTCGAATGTCCGGCATTGGCATCACACTTCCCTTCTTCAACATGGACTCCCGGAAGAATTTTCCGGGCTCTACCCACTTATTGTGATTCACCAAACTTTCACCGGTTGCTTTCATTGGAGCATCAGCAGCGTTTGCATTAGCGTACCTAGCAAAAGTGATATCCTTCTTATTGGCATATTCTTTGAAAGTGGTGTTTACGCCATAGATCTTGAACCCAATCTGCTGCCCCGCTGCCCCTTTTCCATACCCAGTGAACTTATCAGTCCCTTCATTGAAGGATTTGCCATAATTGGCGAAATTGGCTTTCTGTGCATTCGAATTCTTGGCATAAGATTGAAAGGAATCGTCCCCAACATTTGATTTTTCTCTGTACGTGGCGAAGCTATCAGCACCAGCATTCCCACCATCGCCATAGTTTTTGAAATTATTCTGTGGGACATTCCCATCAAATCCGTAAGACTTGAAAGTATCATTAGCCCCATTGCCAGTCTCACCATAGTTGGAGAAATCTGCACCAACCACATTCGAACTCGTGCCATAACCTGAGAACTCATTCGGGACTCCATTCCCATTCTTCCCATAACTGGTGAAAGCTTGGCCGGGTCCAGCATTAGCATTTTCTGTATAAGTTGAGAACTTCTGGCCCTTCGCATTAGCATCATCAGAATAGGACGTAAACCGGAGATTTGGGTTGTTTATCTCCACATTGTACCCCTTGAACTCTCCAGTGCCGCCGGTAGCACCTGCGCCGTAGGTGTTAAAGCTCTGGTCGGCAACGTTGGAGTCAGGGGCATAATTGGAAAATGTCTCGTCGTGACCGGCGGCGTCCCGGCCGTACCGTCGGAATGAGTCGACCGGGATATTCTCACCATCTGAATAGTTCTTGAAAGAGTCGGCTCCACCGGCTCGACCAGTGCCGTAATTGGTGAAGTTTCTGTTGTTATAGATGGCGAAATGAGAGTCTTGGTCATGCTTTTCAAGACTGGGAGACAAATCGGGAAAGCAGAAGAGTTTGGCAGAGGAACAAAAAGCTGGAAGTTGAGTGGAGAGAGCATTTTGTGAGGCGAGTTTAGCAAATGTTGCCAAATCGACGGGGCTCAATGGTGAGGCTTTGGAAAGGAGAAAAGCAGATTTTGGTAAAACCGTGCGGATCTCCTTGTTCCAGTACCGAATTAGAGATGCCTTGGCCGTGAATGGGCTCTCACCGTTTCCTGAATCACTACTGCCACCTGCTGCATAATTCACCTGCATTGCACATTGAATGAGAAACGAATTCCATTATTACTTTCATTATTACTTTCTAGTTTCAATTAATAATTAATAATTTGTACGAGAATTACACACACAAACACTAAAAGAAACTATGTATTATGCAGGAAAAAAAATAAACAGAGAAGAAAAATTAAGACAGAAAACAGTAGTTAGTAGGGAGTAGAAGATGGGCTTACATTGAGCAATGACAGGAAGGAAAGGGAGAGAAGGAGGGCAATGTGGCGAAGAATTTGCATTTTTTTAAGAGAGGAGTGAGAATGTTGGTGGGCTTGTAGGGTTGTGAATTGATGAAATATATATAAAAGGTCTCTAGACTTTACACAGAGAGAAAAGAGCAATTTGTTTTTTTTTTCTCACCAATTTAATTAAGGGGTTTGGATTTCAAATCTGGGTCTGGGTTTGTGGTTACTGGTTACTGAGCTTTGGCACTCAAGACGCTGGTCGGTTGAGTATTAACTCTCGAGTGCATAATTGAAAAGATAATTTTAATCAGGCTGTCAGCAACTCGGATTTCAAAGCCTACCCATTAGGCCATAACCCTACAGAAATCACCCAAAAAAAGAGAGAGAGAGAAAGAGAAAGAGAAAATTACTTAGATACTACTACTTAGATTACTTAATGATGTATAAAGGCAGGATAGAGAAGAGAAAACAAAGTCAAAAGGATGAAGTGAAAAGGAGTGGAAGAGAAGGAGAGTGGCAGTGGAATTGGGAGGGAAGAACGGGGGAATTTATAGGCCCTAAAGTAAACTGTAGAGAATCCAACCATAGAAGCTTTAAAATACCAATGCGCGTATATCTTCTCAAAAAGGTGGTTATGTATTTTACTAGTAAGTTAAGATAGGCTATTCATATTACAAATATTACAAAAACGTAAGGCTGTATAGCATATTAGCTTTTCTAGGAAAAAAAAGGATTTCAAGTGGGCACAATAGATCAACCAATTTATATTCTCTTCTCAAAGAGATAATACCAAAATTTTTAGATGTCATGGATCAACCCCACTTTTCAAATAATTAAGCAAATTGATTTGTCTAACATAAGCCAAGGAGTGTTGGATTAACAGGTGAGATTCAATGGAGCTAGCTTTGACTCTATTTACTGAAAGGCATTTTGGAAATTGGGATAGAGATAGAGCACAAAAATGAAAACATGTGTGCAATTTCTGTGCTATTGATGGACAACTGCCGCGTGCCTCACACGTGTCACGTCATCATTGGAGAAATGTCACTCTAAATGTAGATTTTTACGCGTTAGCCGCTCTTCTTTTTGTTTTACCATGTTAGTAGTTTTTGGAGTTTGTAGAATCTTTCCGTGACTCCATTTTCCAATCTGCATTAAGGGAATGATTAGCCATTTTAGCTCTATCCTTGAGGATCGTGACAAAGCTCGTGAAAATGGCACCCTTTGTAATTTTATTTAAAGTTTCGGGCTAAATAGCATCACGATTCATCACCAACCCCGTTTATTATTTACAGATACACTGACATTTTGGTTTCTAATTTTTTTAATAAACTTTTTTCGCTTATCGTCGGCTATGAATTAAGCAAGGGAAAAGTACATCTTTGTCCTTCAAGTATCACGTGAATCTCAACTGAGCTCCCAAACAAAAACATTCTCAACTGGATCCATCTATCAAACATGACCGGATTGACTCCACCATCAAGATTCATGACAAAAATGTTGGTTTCACGACATATATGTCCAAATTTTTTTTTATGATTTTGTAGGAAATAATTTAAAAGGGAGGGACCCAATTGAGAACAGCTTTTTGTCTGGGGAACTAATTGAGAATTGGGTTATAGTCGGGGGATTAATATGTCCTTACTCTTAATGTAAAGTTATTAGTCAAAATAAACTGATTAAAGAAAAGTTCATCGAATGATAACATCTACTTTTGGGATTAAATAAAGGGAGGAAAGGACCGAGAATCTGGTCATCACCTAAGCCATCCTTATGTTGGTCCGGCCTTTCTTCATGTCGTAGCCTTAGCTTATCGATGGGTTTCTTCGTAAATAAAGGAAAGGGAGGAGATAATGTATCTTTTACCATGAAAGTGCGTCAATGGAGATGGGCGAATTTATCTTTCCTTTATGAGACAAACCAATCTAGTTACTTTTGTACTGACTCTGCTTTCCTGTTAATGAGCCTGAGAAAAAATTGTGACATTATAGAGAGAAGATCCTCCAAGCAAGGCTAACAGCAACAATTTAGGTAGCAACCTTAATTCTTTGAATAGAAATGGGATTGATTCGGATTGAGGAATCATATTCAATTACTGCTACTTGCCATTGTAGGAGAGGAGGCTAGCTTAGTCTACTTACCTAGTTCACAGAAATCTTAAGAGGTCATTCAAGTAATAGTAACAGCCATAATTTCTCTTGACAACAAGATATATCTTATCAAGAGTCAAGGTCTTAGGTTAAGATTGATCCCGTCAACTTTTAGAGACGAACATAATTGATTAATGGTTTTTAAGGGAAATTATGAACTTTGCCCACAATTCCTTGGGCCATTGAAGGCTGTCTTGTTGCCCAGGTGGGTGAGGTTGATGTCAATTAAGATTGATTCCACCCACATTAGACTCTCCGGTCAAGCTACTGTTTTAATAAATTGGTTCAAGAAAAAACATAACGGTTCAAGAGATGATGGTCTTAAAAAGCTTGATGATAATTTTTCTTGTCATTATCATCCATCTCTCTCTTATTGAAAATACTAATGATAAATTAATCTTGTTGCTAAAAGAAAGAAGCACAATCATATAATACTGTAGCTGATTAAGACCTTATGTATTTAAGATCCAAAAGGGGATGAGGAAGGCTCAAAAACACATTAAAAAACACCATTAAAAAACACCATTAATGGTGCAGAATCGTTAATTATTATATAGACTGCTTATAACTTATATATGTAAAGTTTGATTGGTTAATATCTCTCTAATTAATGGCCTTAAAGGTTCTAACTTCCAGTGTTTATTGTCTCTTAATCAGTATGCCATTAATTAGCAGCATCACAAAGGAAAAGTACTAGCTCACGATTTTTGCATGTGAATTCTGGTCATTGTTTTTGCATGAAATTATAGTTATTGATACATCTAAGAAAAGGTAAAAGAATAGACATGAAGAACAAATCATCCTCAAAAAAAGGCACACCTTTTGAATGGTTAAACAAGAGTTCTGCTGGTCTGTGTGGTTCAATAATTGCACCAGATTAATTTTTATGTGCTAGAATGAGCAATTTGGAATATGGCCGGTTGCATCTCATCTCCACGTCTATTTTATTAATTGTTTTGTTAGATTATGAATTTTAGCTGACCGGATGTCCATACACACATACATGGTGTTTACACCAGATTTATACCATTTTTCATAAAGTGATGCCAAGGACCAAATTGTATTTTTAAGAAATATTAGGGATCGAATTGTCATGACTAAATATACGTGCAAATGTTGACATGTCTCCACAAGCATGTTTGTTTTGTTTGATTGAATTCCTTACGGATGTTGGGCATTATTTTCATTTTAAGTTTTCTTTTTTTCTAATTTATTTTTTTAAAATTGTAAACATGTATGGTTGGTTAATTTCTTTCTAATTTTTTTTTTAAATTACACTTAGTTTCAATCAAATACTCAAGTTATTGGAACTTAATCCCGAGTGACTTGGATTCGATTCTCGAATTCTTTAGGCTCGGTTGTGGCCTTAATTTAAAGCAATCGAAACATAGATGCTCGTAACACTAGTCCTAGACCGCATCCCAAACGCCACGGATTCGGTCCGGACTCAACCCCCGAACACACCTAGAGCTAGTCTCCATCCAAACCCTAAGTGTCCCGACCCAAACCTTAACCCGAGTACCTTAGACCTAGTTCTTGCTCGAATCTCGAGTGCTTTATACTTGATCTCTAATTGACCCCCGGGCTCCTCGGACTCAATCACAACTCGATCTCATGGCACCTTCAACCCAATCCCAAGTTGTCTTTTAGGTACCTATGATTGAACTCTAAGCACCAAAGACCTAATATCAAACCATGAGTGTCTTAAACCTAAACATAGGTCATGACCAAAACCTCATGAGCCTCGAACCCGGTAGTGGACCAACTCTCAAGTATCTCAAATGGGTTCCTAAACCAACTTTCAATCACCTTGGACATGGTCTCAAATAGAATCTTGAGCGCCCTAAATTTGGTCCCTCGAATCTTGGGTGCCCCAAATCAAGTCCCGACTCAAATCTCGAGCTCATTGAATCGATTTCTTTTGAAACTTCTAGCATGATCCATGTCTATTTTTTGACTTTCGAATTTGATTAGATTCCAAAATATATAATTATATTGTAAAAACTAGTTTTGGAAACTCGTTGGAAATCAATTTTTTTTTCAAAAGTTTTAAAACTTGCAACGAAATTTTATTTTTTATTAAAAAAAACAAACAAGTTTTCATATTTTTTAAATTAAAAAAATGAAAATGATATCAAACAACTCTTAATATATGCATGATATTGGATTTTTGAATTGCTTTTACATGTTTTTTTAGCATGATTATCAAAATTATTGTTTACTTTAATTTTTTTAAAAAATTTTACTTGTTGATGTGGCGTCCGAATATGTTTTGGGCTATGTAGGGCCTATAGAGTGTTATTGGGCTTTTAAAGAATCCTACATTTGTAAAGTGAGATTACAAGTGAGAATCCGATCAACTCTCGACGAATAAGTTAAATAAAAGCTTTTTGAATACTAGTTTCTTGGTATGCGCTTTATAAGTTTATTATTTAACAAATTTATGATATATGTTTTTTAAATTTTCTTATAGATTATTTAGAGTTATTTATAAATTAATAAATTTGAATGTTTACTAAATAATTTATGGTGTATAAATAAGAAAATAATGAAAAAACAAGATTAGTCTATATTTTAGGATTCATTTAAAACAATAGCCTTGTAATCACCCGACCTAAAAATAACATTAAAAAAAATCGGGGTTGGTATAAATAGGGTAGCAATTGTCCCTTTTTTTAGAATTTTCTTTCTTCTTCTTCTCTTCCTCTCGGGCCATTTTCTTTCTAGATTCTTCCCCCATTTCATCCTTAAAATCCTAAGCTAAGACTATGTTAAATTGGCTTAGGAAGACCTTGAACAAGTAGATTTAGGTGTAGCTTAGTCTCTAAGAAGAAATTGGAGATTCAAGAGCAAAGTGTCAAAGGTAAGATTTTTTATCAATTGATCTTTGAATTATAATATTTA